ACCGGTGGGGGTTAACGAGCCGTTCTTGTGTTCTTTTTCCCAGCCTTACTTTTATTCACTTCCCCATAACTCTCTCATCTGAACTCTCTAATATATACATATTTGCATTTGCAAAAACCTAAGTTCCTTTGAAAGAGGAGGAAAAATTAAGAAAGACTGATCTTCAGGCGTTCGATCCTGTTACTGTTTCCTGATCTGTCCTGGGGGAGCAGGTTCAGAAAAGCACCGAACAGCACTTCGGATGCTGCGCTTGCGCCTCTCCTCTCTGCTCGGCAGTGAGTTTTCCAGTCCATCGAGAATGCAGGGGCTGCTGGCACCGGAGCTGAGGCCAGCACTGCTTTTCGAGGAACGTGAAAAGCCTGGTTAACACCAAGCCCGGGCAAGCGTGACAACCGGCCGAATGCCGGCCTTGTGAACAGCCCGTGGGATCTGCCTGGAGACAGACTTTGTTTAGTAAACTTCCTAGCAGTGGCCCGTACACAGAGGGAGTGCTCCCTCCCTGGCTGCGCTGACCTCGCCATGGCTTCCAGCAGGACTGCTCCCCGTGGCTGTCCAAGGAGGGACGAGATGTTATTTGTCAGAGGTCTCTGTGTTGCCTGATAATGTTTGGGCTTTGAAATTTTCTGCCTGCTGGTTGGGAGGGACCCTTTCTCAGATCATCCGCCACCGCCTCGCCTACAGCCAGCGCGGACTCTGGGTCAGGATCTGCATTCTCGGGGTCGCTTCTCCTTTCTGATCTTCGGCTGTTTGGTGCTAGGAAGTGGATTCCCTCTCAGCTTCTGCGGCCGGGGCAGGCTGCTGGGGTAGGGAGTCATTTTTGGTGGTGACACTATCTGAGGGGCTGATGTGGCTGTTTCAGATTGTTCTGTGTAGTCTGGGAGAGCGGCCTTCTGTCGTCTGGGCAGAGGCTTCTCGTTGCCCATGCACAGTGGTTCTGCAGGTGGGGGCCGACCTGATGCAGGTGATGGAGAGACGCTGGGATGAGGGGGGCCGCTGGCCAAGGTGCGCTCAGGAGGCCCGGGCACCATTTCACACAGACCTGTGACTCGCTGCCTGCCAAGGTCTGAGTTTAATAAAGGTTTGTTGAATGACTAATGAGACAAATAAGGGAGTGCCTGGTTGTGTTAAAGCCTGTTGGGGGCCACATATGTGACGTTCTTGGTGTAAGAAATCTAGGTGAGGGTTTCACAGGGGTTGCTGTTCAGGCTGTGAGGGGGTGTGTACAGGTGCCTGCCTCGTACCTCCTGGACCAGGACAGGCATGAAGGACCCCCACGTGCCCACCCACGAGGAATTCACTGTCCGCACTATTCCTCGGCAGTGTCCATGGAACCCAAGATGACCCCGACTGATAAAATAATAGACAGGTGTTCTCCTTGTAAGCAGAGCTCCCGGGAGGGCCCCACAGAGCTGGGCGTGTGGGTGAGGCTCGGGGTATCATTAGGCGTTGAGAAGACATATACATGGGGTTGTGTTCAATGCAGTGCTGTTTTCAAATCAGCAAGGCAACCGCATAATCATCCTTACGAAGTGACTGGGTTTTAAATACGAGACCAGGGAAAGTGTGGACCTGCCCCATGAGAAATGAGGGAACTTCTGCCCCTCTCACTCTCTCTTTTTAGAAGTTTCATAGGAATATGCAGGGATAAAAATCGCAGGATGCGTTTGTTGTAAGTACATGTTTTTATTCACTCAGCCTGGTGAGAACAAGCACAGGGCTGCTCTACCCGGAGGAGGCAGAGCGGAATCTCCTAGTGCCTTTTATCACCCAAGAGTTTATTTTAAATAATTTTTTCCCATGAAGATTTTTCTAAAATTAATTCTCTACCTTAAAACCTCCCCTCCCCCGTACAAATCTCAGCAAACAGGAATTCCCTACTTTTCTAACAGTGCTCTGAATCAGATTTAGTTTTTTCTTGATGCCTGGTGGGTGTGAGTAAGCAAATGAATGAATTGAAGGAATGAATGAATGGCTCGTGGTTGTCACTGTAACTGCAGGTGCTGAGGGACTTTGCTCCTTCATTGAGAGCCTTAGACTATAATTTTGAGCTTGTGTGTGTGTGCCTGTGTGTACGGAGTTTCTAGGCTCTTGCTGCTAGCAGTGGGTCTGTCCTATGTTTATTTCCACTTTTAATGCCATTTCCATCTGCTGTGACTGGGAAAATGGATCATCAGAGCTGTTCAAGTTATTCTAACGTGTGGTATAATTAGATTCTTCGGGGCCAGAGTACATAAAGATTTTCTGTATGAACTCTGCCTTTTTTTTTGGTTGATCTAAATCCTCCAAACACTTTCTCCCTGTGTGTCAGCTCTCTGCTGGTTACAGCACCAAGTACCAGGCCTGGGAAAGGTGAATTGCTACGGGAAGAGGAGTTGGCAGTGGCTGGGAGGGGTCTGTACCTGTAATATCCACCGAAGGGCTTACGAGAGGCACTCGCCCGTCATCTGGGGACTGATGGGGAGTGGGGGGAGAGGACTATCATGGGGGCACATGGGCTGGGCATGAGCACTATGGCCAGGGAAAGAGTTTGGTGAGGCCGATTGGAAGCTTTTAATATTCATATGGGCATTTCCTTTTCTTTTTATCAAAACTAAAATTGTGACTGATCATTACCTCAGCGTTAATAGAGAAGTGAGTCATTGTGGTGATTATATTTATTAATGACTGTAGATTGATTAGAGTCTCTTGGGCCCAATTAAAGGCCTCAAGTGAAACAAATTCAGTAAAGTCTTTGAGAGTTTTTCAATTTCAAACATTGAGGAAGTTCTACACTTATTAGCAAGGAGAGGGTTTGACTGGAGGAGATGGATCTGCAGCACCGAACCATTAGTAAGCTTATTCTTAAGAGTGGAACCTGGATGGTCCACAGGGACCCTGTGGTCTGGCTCCCCAGCCCTCCCGCCCTCCTTCAGGCTGGGAGACAGCAAGGAGGGTGCAGTTTAGGTCAGTGAATGTCCATCCCTCAGTCCTGGGACTCCACCATAGTGTCTTCATCTCAGGAAAGGTTGTAGTTAGCGATTTCTCATTTGAGAGGTATTAGGATGAGGTTGCCTTTTACTCCATACACACGTTACACCCAAGGACTGAGATGAACCACAGCACTAATTCTTCAGATCAGTTTTGTGTTTTATTTATCCCAGGGGTCGTTGATGATACTTTGAGCCATTTTAGCACAGCGAGAGTGGGTGTGGGTCTTTCAAGAAAATAATGCTATTTCTGGCACATTCCTTCTCTCCCAAATAGAACGGGATATGATGAGAAAGCTAGAAAACTATAGATTTTTTTATTTTATTCGAAAACCACTCTTCACATCACCCAAGCCAGCTGTCTCCATTTCAGAGATGTGAAAACTGAGGCTGGGGGACAGAGTACAGCTTGTTATGGTCATACTGCTCCTGGTAACCAAGCCAGGTCCAGAGCCCCAGTATTCTGACTCACAAACATATGAAGACACATAATAAAAGAGATAGTATAAAATGATGAAATAGGATTTTTTGGCTTGTTTGGCAGAACTTAGAAGTAGAAATTGTTGTAAGACAGTGTTGGTCTGGGTCTGGGGAAACAGGGCTTATCGTATGTGGGTTGTAGAGAGTAAAATGGTAAATACTTTCTGCTGGGCAATGTGGCAGTAGGAGAAGCTTAAAGGGTGAGTTTTTCCTAAAGACGTAAATAAGAATGGCCCTGGCTGGGTAGCTCAGTTGATTAGAGTGTTGTCCTGATATACCAAGGTTGCGGGTTTGATCCCTGGTCAGGGCACATACAAGAATCAACCAACGAATGTATAACTAAGTGGAACAACAAATCAGTGTTTCTCTCTCTCTCTAAAATTAAATTTTAAAAAGAAGTAAATGAGAATTCGCATTAAAAACTAGCCTCGCCCGGCCGGGTGTGGCTCAGCGGTTGAGCCTCGGCCTAGGATCCAGGCGACTGGGGTTTGATTCCCGGTCAGGGCACATGCCCGGGTTGCGGGCTCGATCCCCAGTCGGGGGCATGCAGGAGGCAGCCGATCAGTGACTCTCTCATCATTGATGTTTCTATCTCTCTCTCTCACTCTCCTTTCTTCTCTCTGAAATCAATAAAGATATTTTAAAAAAAAAACAAAAACAAAAACTAGCCTCTAAGCCCCGGCTGGTGTGGCTCCGTTGGTTGGGCTATTTCCTGTGCATCAAAAGGTTGCTGGTTTGATTCCTGATCAGGGCACATGCCTGGGTTGTGGGCTCGATCCCCAGTCGGGGGTGTGAAGGAGGCAGCTGATCAGTGTTCCACTCCCACATCGATGTTTGTCTTTCCCTCTCCCTCTCTCTCAAAAAATATTTTTTTAAAAAGAATTGCTCTTTTCTCTTCTAAACTAGCTACTGAGATGTTGTTTAGCATCATTTAGATTAAAACATTGGAAAAGTAAGCCTCTGGAAGGGGATTGGTTCAGTTTGTGGCCTTTGTACAAAGTAAATATGAGACCATCAAAAGTGATGTCTATGTGTTGTCTGGGTTTTCTTTTGAACACTCCAGCCAGACATTGAAACTGCGGGGGGGCAGCGGGATGGACGTGCAGAATCTTGATAACGGGAAACTGGGTGATGAGTCTATTTGAAATGAGGCACGATTAAAAGATAAAGTTGTGTGCAGCCTCGTTTTAGAGTCAGTTGACTCAGTGTTTCCTGTGGGCATGACTCTCTGCCATTGGACTTTGCTTCCCAGACTCACTAAAAAGATGCTAATGTTGAAGTTCATGGATTATCATGGGAAGCTATTTATGATATATTTGAATGGAAAAGAACCACAAATAGCTGTGTACAGAATTCTCATTTGGTTTAAATAATATACAAACCCATATGTAGAAAACAGATGGCGTGTGTACACCCAAGTCAAAATCACTGGGTAGAGAAATTTTTTTTTTTAGCTTATCTGATCCCCCCCTCCCCCCTACAGCAGACTAGTGTCTCACCTGTGAGATTTTATGAACCAAGTGTCTAATTAAATATGTTGCTCTTTTTATTTAGGGAAGAGTATGGAGGAAATCAAGAAGGTGCTGTTGCTGGTGCTGGGCTGTGCTGTCCAGGTAGGGCTTGGGCAGAGGTGGAGGGGGCCTGCCCTTAGCCACCTTGTGTTTAGATTTGTGGGGATAAAAAGCTCCCCCTTAGTGAGGTAGGAGTGAAACTGCCTTCAGCCCAACATAACACTTCGTCCCTGACTTCCTGAGAGAAGGGATCACTCAATAGGTGGGGGCCGATTCTAGTACCAGGGCACCTTTGGCAAGAGGCAGGTGGGGATTCCTCAGACCAGGGTGCCATTAGCAAATTGTCCCCAGTATAGGGACACCTAGAGCAAAGGTCAGGAACTACGTACAGCCTGGGGGCCAAATCTTACCCACCCCCTGGTTTTGAAAATAAACTTTCATGGGAACAGAGCCCCACTGGGTTGTCTCTTTGTGTGTTACCCCTGGCTGCTCTCACACCAGTGGCAGAGCTGAGACAAGTGGCCCGCAGACTCTAAAATTGTTTTTACCATCCCGCCCTTTGAAGATGAAGTTTGCCACCCCCGCTTAAACCAGGTGTTCTTTACTTGTTTAGAAATCATCTGGAGAGCTTGTTTCACGTGCAGATTTCTGTGTTTCGCCCCCAGTGTTTTCAACCTGATGGGGCTTTTTAAAAACAAGCTCCCCAGGTGATTCTGGTGCACGTGGTTGAAGCAACTTCTAGAGAAACCTCAGCTTCTAGAGAAACCTCAGTCTAAGGGACAGTAGGGAGGACAAGGGCGGACAAATTCTTGGTTATAAAGGAGGAAGCCGGGGCTGGGCTGGTAGTTCATTTGGAAACTCTTTCTGTGGCTGTGGTAGGCCCAGGTTGCCTTACTGGAGTGCGTCCATTAACACGTGTTACCCTCCGCAGTGTGAGAGAAAAGAGGAGTTTATTGACAGAATCAAACAGCTGGACATTGAGACCCAGGCTGGGATTGTGGCCCATATCCAGGAGGTAGGTGTGTGGCTGGCTTTGTGGGGCTCAGCCGTGGACCCCCACTCCTGTGGCAACCAGGAGGCAGGCTTTCTCCACCAGGGAAAAGTTTAAAGACTACGTCACCCATTCGTGATTTTACTAAGTTTAGGTTTCAGACACCACAGAAATATGGAACCTGTTTGGAAGGGTAGTCATCGGCACGCTAAAATAAAGTGGGGGTAAAAATTTAAAAATAATTTTAAAACACCTCAGTCAAGTCTTCTTTTGCCTGCCCCTCTTGCCTAATATGGACTCAGATTATTTTAAAGTACTGTCAAGTAGTTTGGGCTCAGAATTTGATTTACAGGCCCTGAAAATATATTCTGGCAAATGTTACCCTGCTTCAAATGGTGTATTTTCACGGAGAAAGATTCTCCATGTCCATCAGTGACATGGCAAAGAGACATGCTGCCTCCACTTGGGAAGTGAGAAACCTCCAGGTCCCAGAAGGGCTGTCGCTGTAGACTCAGCCCCTGGGATGGGGTCAGGAGGGCACTGCACTGTGGGCAGCCCCTCTGCCATTGACCTTGGCAGAGGTGGAAACATCAGCGAAGTGGTTTCCCTGGAAACTGAGCCTGTGGGGGAAAATACCCACCTGAAAATTTATTTCCCTGGCATCCTCCCGAACCCTCCCTCCAGAAGGAGCATTGTATGTTTTAATTATCTTAGAAGATGTGGTTTAGCCTTCAGTCTGATTGGACAGATGAGATAAAGGCATGAAAAAGACGGGCAGGAGCACATAGGAGCAGGTGTGTGACTGGCAGGGGCAGGTGAACACAGCTCCCCATGCCGGGGCCAGGGACAGGCTGGGCTGATGGGTTCCCAGCCTCCAGGTACCTTCAGGTGGTGGTTTCAGAATCGGCACTGGAGCAGGAGATGGATGCAGCTGGAGGGTCCAGTGAAGCTGGCATCCGGGGAAAGTCAGCATTGTCATAAATACTCTTAGCCATTTGTGTAGGTGAGTGGCCACCTGTCAGCCTGATAACAATTCTGCCTTTTAATTTTCCTTGTGTGTCCACATGTTTTGAAAATGTATGTATCTGGGTACTAGGCCCTTGCTACTCACTGTCTTTCCTGCCCAGCAAGCAGGATATTTAAAATAAAAGGGGGGGTGGAATGCAGCCCAAAAAGTCCTATGTGATTATCAAATTCAGGGCTGGCCATGGGGACTGGGCTTCAGAATTAGTTGGGTGCTTCTCCAACAATCAGGTGCCTGGGCCCCACAAAAGACCCACTGACTCAGAATCAGAGGAGGGGCAACATGAGCCTTTAATTAAAGCTGCTCGTATGACCCATGTGTGGTTGGGGTTGCGTCCCAGGATCCCCTTACAGACATGAAGGGCCTTTCCCAGGCACTGGTGTGGAGCAGGCCTAGAACCCTGCCTGCGTCCCAGATCCAGGCCTTTAGGGTGCCCATACCATGGGCTGAGACTTCTCCCAGTCTCTGAGATCTGCTGAATCCCTACTTTTCCCCTGTGAGGTGGGGAGAGGTAAGGAAGGTGGGTGTCATTTGAGAAACTGAAAGGCCCTGTTTTCTTGTGGGTTGTTTTTTGTTTGTTTTTTAAATTATTCTCTATCTCCATTTACTCTTCTGGAAAATTTAAGGAATTTTTTTGGTGCGCCTCAGTGAGTAGATTTCCATTTGTTTTCCCCTTTTGAGGCCTGGGTGCACGAATACTTCCCACACTGAGGACGAGGATTTGAAACAGACCTTCTGTGTCCTCTGGCTGGTCTGGGGGGTCAGGTTGAGAAGGTGGGGTCAGCAGTTGGTGGAGAGGCTGCCGGGTGAGGACTTGGCCGCGGGCCGGCGCTCCCACCGGCAGAAAGGGGAAAACCAGGTGGTCCTACGTGGCTTGTGGGGCTGAGATACAGGCTTACCTGAAAATTATTTTAGGTTATGAAATATTTCCCCGGAAAATAACGTAAGATTGTTATGTAACTAACATTCTGACATAATAAGCATTTTAATATTTTGCCGTAATCGCACTAGATTTTAAGAAATAAGATATTATTCCTTTCCTCACCTTCCCACTCCCAAGGCTGACGTTCTCTGTGTGATAAATTGTTGGTGCTCCACTAAAAATATCTGAGGACTGTTGAGGGAACTACTGCATTGTAAGGAGTGCCTTCTGGTATTAAAGTCAGTGACCTCTTTGAACCAGAGTTGAAAGCAGAAGTGGTTTGTGTTGGTAAAGAGCTCGGCTGCAGAGAATGGCTGTGCTTGCTCAGGAGCCCCCTGCCCTCCCACCACAGAAACTTTGTAGATGAAGGTTAATAAGATCAGTGACATGGGTCAGCTGTGGGAGAGTCTGCCTGGCCCCCGAGGCTTCGTCTTGGGAGGTGGGTGCTCTTCGCCACCGCCACCCCCCCCAGAAGCTGCTCTCTGCCCGGCCTCTGCAGCACTGTCTCCGTGTGTGCCCTCAGGTCACCCACAACCAGGAGAACGTCTTCGACCTGCAGTGGTTGGAGGTTCCGGACGTGGCCCCGGAGGAGCTGGAGGCCCTCTCGAGGAACATGGTGTTTCACCTCAGGAGGCTCATAGATGAGCGAGATGAATGCACGGAGGTGTGTTTGCAGGTGGCCCAGCAGCCTGGTGGGGCAGGTTGGGGAGGGACTTGGGCCTGGCGCCCTAGTAATGGGCTGTTCTCCTCACCCTGACTCTTCCTCTCAAGCCTGTACACCGCCTGGTCCTCCTGGCCCAGTTTCTGCAGGGGCAGGACATGCAGTGCACAGTCATCTCTGGGACACCTGTGTGAGGACGGGAGTTGAGCTTGGGACCCTGCTCCATTCACACGCCCCTTTCTGTCTCAGTAAATATATCATCACTTTTAAAAAGTTATACCAGCCCGGCCGGGCGTGGCTCAGTGGTTGAGTGTCGACCTAGGATCCAAGCGATCGGGGTTTGATTCCCAGTCAGGGCACATGCCCGGGTTGTGGGCTCGATCAGTGACTCTCTCATCATTGATGTTTCTCTCTCTCTCTCCCTTTCCTTTCCTCTCTCTGAAATCAATAAAGATATATTTTAAAAATACATAAATAAAAAGTTACACCACCTTTCTCCCTCTTCCCTCCTGATTTTGCAGTCTTGGCTGACATCTTCTCTTTTACTTTCTTCCGTCTTTTGGTCATTTTTCACCAAGTTCCAGTGCAGGCACTGTCCCGGGCACAGGAACACATGGTGAGACCCCTCTCTGCCCTGCTGCAGATGATCGTGGACCTGACTCAGGAGCGGGACTACCTCCAGGCACAGCAGCCGCCCAGCCCCCTCAAGTCCTCCAGCGCCGAGTCCACACCCAGCCCGACCAACAGCCTCTCCAGCGAGGACAAGCAGCACCTGGCCGTGGAGCTTGCGGACACCAAGGCCAGGCTGCGCCGGGTCAGGCAGGAGCTGTGAGTCCTCCAGTGGCCCCATTCTTTCTGCGCTTGTTTCTGTATATGTGGTTCACTGCCGCATGGTGCAGCAAACGGGAGAGCTCTGACTCGTACCCTGGAGTCACTGGGCTCTATTCTAAGCTTGGTCCCTGTTTGACCATGGGCTGGTCCACTCCCACCCCAGGCCACACAGGAGGGGTTCTGCTGGGTCTTTAGGGCTCTTGCCAGTCCAGAGATCACAGACTTACAGAAGCAGCCTGCTATTCACCCTCAGGCCCAGTGCGGGGCTCAAATGGCCACACACTGGTGTGTGTGTTCTTGGCTGGAGGGAGGATGTCTCTCTCCTGGTCTGGTGAGCCTGTTCCCCCTTTCCTGCAGCTGGTGATGTCACTCTGCCTGTCATCTCGGGAGCCCCCGCCCTTACCTCTACACCAGTGGGCCTCACTGCCTGCTAGGTAGTGGAGGAGCACAGTGGCTCCTGGGGTCTCCTTACCTGTCCAGCACCCTCAGAGGAAAACTCAGTGTCTGGTGGGTGTAGTCTGAGAGCAGGCATTGAAAACTTAAAAGTGACATTTGAGTCGAGAGCGTTTTTGCAAGCCCTGCGTGCAGACTCCCTCCTCACCCCCAGAAGCCAGGTCCTCTTTCCTTTCCCCACCATGGTCTCCCAAGGTGGGTTGCTAGGTGCTTCTGAGGAAGCCCTCACCACTCGTTCTCCGAATTGCCCCCAGGGAGGAGAAGACAGAGCAGCTCGTGGACACCAGGCATGAGGTAGATGAGCTGGTGCTGGAGCTGCAGAAAGTCAAGCAAGAGGTGAGCAGGAGGCCTGACGTGTGTGGAGGGGGTGGGAGGCTAGGATGCCCCAGTAACCGTGGCCCGAGGTCCAGGAATGTAACCACGGGACCTTCCAACAAAGGCCTGTTTCCTTCCCGCCCAAAGCAACGCTGCCTGAGAGCCAGTAGTCCTGAGAGCTGCTGTGGGGACATGTTTTAGTGACAGCGTGTGGGGCCCCCATGCAGCGGCCTGCACTTGGAGCTGCTCCGCCACCAGGAACTGGCTTCTCCTGGGACTGCAGGGACTTGGCCCTTTGTTCCCCTCCCCAAAGGGTGCCCTGAGCTAGGTCTCCAACCTTTGCTCACCTCCCAGAACGTCCAGCTGGCGGCCAGCGCCCGGTCTGCTCGCGCCTACCTCGATGAGCTGGACTCCCTGAGGGAGAGGGGGAGCCGCGTGGAGAGGCTGGAGGCGGAGCTGACGCGTTTCAGGGAGAAGCTGAAAGATGCAGACTTCTACAAGGCCCGCATGGAGGTGAGCCAAGCCGGAGGGCCCCAGGATCTCTGTCCTGGATGAG